AATAAAACGATCTATGACTATTTTTTGAGAATAGTGGAACATCAATGGCTGAAGCTTTTTCTTCAGTATTATGCGGCGCAGTATTATTTTATCCTGGTCTTCTTCAGCAGAATATTCAGGATTAAGCGATTCTTCATCTTCCTCATTTTCGTCCTCCACTTGATTGATCAGCTCGCTATCGTCTAATCCATGATCGAGGGTACTTTCGATTTCGAAAGTGTGCGAATGACTGTTGACAATCGACTCATGCACACTGCACAGCTGATCAGCCACTTCACAGCTGATCAGCCACTTCACATTCACGGTTTGTAATAGAAGCAGTGGGAGTCGAGGTGGTCGAGAAAACAGAAGGCAGTAGGTTTGAGACTCGATCAGCGAGAATTTTCATGACGTTTGATGGATTAATCATTTCGAAACAGAGACTGTTAAGACTGAATTCAACTCAACTTTTGCACCGCACTGATTTATTGTAAGAGATAAAATCAAAAGAAGAGCGATTATACGGCAGAAACACGTACAAAAGAGAACAGAAGGAAAAGTTTACTAGAAGAACATCAAACAAAGCATCTTGGCGTATAACATTCCTTACATAAATGAGATGGTATGTCGAGAAAGAAAGAGAAAAGCAACAGTGCTGATAATGCATCACCATCGCCCATCCATTAAGACTCACTATGTTTTAAAATGGTATTAAGAACATCATAAGAATTTGTATGTTATTTGAACTCATGAATAACGAATAGAATCGTTATAGATAGAATTATATCCAGCTCTCAAATCCAAATAGATCGTGCAAGGAGCGCATAATACTGAAGAAAAGCTTCAGCCATTGATGTTCCACTATTCTCAAAAAATAGTCATAGATCGTTTTATTCTCATTTCCTCATAGGATATCTTGAAAATTCAATATCCTAGGAATGAAGGCACGAGGGAATGAATCCTTTTCAGGTCTTTCATATCTCATCGAGGTCTACTTATGGCCAAAAGATGAAGTCTAAACGGCTTGAACACTTGGGGACCTTCCCTCGTTAGTCAAAATTTTCAGCCCCTATGAAACATCGACAGCTTCTTTTTGTCCTTTTGACTCGGATTTCGTGTTCTATAGGAGGTTATCGACTATGCTGATTACGAATATGTGGTTGGTATGTAGTTACGGCTCTTGTTCATTTCCAGTTCCCTCCCACTCTTATTTCCTATTCTAAATCCTTCAAAAACTATTTTTCTTCTAGAGAAATGTAGTAGGGGACAGTTCAAGTTTCCAAGGCTTGCGTTTTTCTGTACGAAATAAGCGGTTGTAAAATGAAAATTTATTTAGTTCAAAGAAGTCGAGTTTAAACTATCAAAACCTTATAAGAGCCGTCTAATTTGTTCAGTTTTGAGAGAACGATATTTTTAAAATCAAATGAACACAATCATTTTATATTTCAGTCAAATAAAAAAATATATTTTGTCAACGTATGTGTACAGTACTTAATAGATGATTTGAACAGAGAGAGATGCGTTTGTAGCGTACAAATCAACATAGTTAAAGGGGTGACTTGAAAACATATCGATTGATCCTTTTCAACTTTTATATGTTGGTGATCATAAGTATTTTTTTTGCGCTTGGATAGGTAGAATGGATATCTCTTCAAACTCGAAGTGAATCGGAAAGAAAACAAACACATGACATATTTCTTCATTCTAATTAAGTCACGTTCACATGACACATTTTGACTTAGTTTAATCCTAATCTTTTTAAGGTGAATGCACTCAGTTTGTTAACTTCGTTGACATTGACGTTGGGTAATTTGCCAACTTAGTTAAGTTAACCAAGTTTATAAAACTCGGTTAAGGACTCCTATTAAACATCGATCAATCAGTGATTAGCTACATCTTCTACACATGCGTTATGGTCAAATAACTTATACACATATGCAGTTCCAAGCGCATTTGTAGCTAGTTCATACAGCGTCCCGCAAATTATTTGAGAATGTAATTTTCAGTATTTTCACATTGATCAATCCCTGGGAGCGTCTGAACGGTGTCATTTCGAACTCGGTTAGGATTTGAATTAAACTAAGTTAAAAAGTGTCGTGTAAACGTGGCTTTATTTTATCTTCGAATCGACGCATACGCACACATTTGCTAAGAATTGCCAAGAAGTAAAAGAAAAGGAAAGATATCTTATTTGATACATCCCTAATCAGTACAAAAAAATCAAAAATAATTTCATTAACATTAAATGGTGAAGAATTTGATGCTTTACAAACTAGATGGCAATCACGCTAGTGAGAGTTGCGAATGCGGTGCGAAACAGGAACAAAATAATTGAGGATACGGTAACAGAGAAGCTAGAGTTACGATAATTACTTGTTGAATAGATTAGAGAACGATCATAAAATGGATCACACGGTAAACCAACCTACTCTGGTATAAAAGCGCGTGCACATGTATGACTCGGATTAATTATCGTGTTTTTTGACAGTACTAAACGTTCAAAAGACCTACTTTGAACCTGTAAATCAGAGCAACGAAATATACAAACAGTCTCAAAAGGGAAGAAGACACAATTCAGCCACTTCTCTCTCTACAAGCGTTTAAAGTTTTGAAATACCACTTATGGTTTTTGAGATAAACGTTACAGAAAATCATACTTTTTTTGTTGAGCAAAAAACATGCCGTTTATTACTAGAATGCGGTTTGCTTCGCACCGCATTAAATAGTTTACTTGAAGTTAATTTATTTCAATTGTTATTGGCTTTAATAGATAAACCTTCAAGTTCATCGAAGTTTCTAGCACAAAAAAACCCTTTGGCTATTTCAGTATAAAATTCAAGGTTCAAATCATTAGTCTATAGATCAAAATATGCAGAATTTCACGCTCTATTAGACTGTGTAACTTACAAATAAGCCTGCTGCTTTTTTTACCTGAAAAACTAAGCAATACTAGGTGTGGCTAAGATGGCCGAAAAAGAGGAGAAAATGATCTTTTTCAAATAAAAGACTTTTTTTTTTATTGAATAAGTGATTTTTAGCGAGGTTTTGCGCAAAAAATCAATTTTTTGAAGATGCACTGTAAAAAATAAAATGTGCCCAAAATACACTGAACTTGCACATCACTTTGATTCGCATTTGCGCATCTAGAAATGCAGGGTGTGATATGCCAGAAGCACATCTGCAAATATAAAAAGACTTTTACGCACCAAGAACAAAACACACCAGTTTGATTCGCATTTGAGTATTTAACACTAGAACGCCCGTAGCGGCGTTTTGACGGTTTTGTGATTTTTATTCTTAATAAAACAAAGTGCATACAATTTATTTAAAAATAAATTATGTCATAACTTTTAATTTGTCCCACAAAAATTATTTTTTGCAGAATTTTTAATTCATTTTTGAATTCAGAACCATTTTTAAGTATAAAATTGCCATCATCGGGCGACGACTTTGACTGGCAGCTGAAAGTGTTTTTGTTGGGGTATGAGTGAAGCACCATTGATATCAAAACCTGAATGGGATATAATGATGTATCGTATTTCTTCTTGCATTGTATTTCTTCCTTTGCAATCGTATTTCTTATTGATTCATGACCGATGCATCATTATATTTCTTGTGAGTTATTTCCCTCGGCGAGGGCCCATTTCCGAGTACTTGCTCCTCGAACGACTTTTTTCATCTGCATGGGACCCGTTAGAATCACCATTCTTTTTAGTTGTGGTAACCGAAATTGTTATTTGTGTTAGATGTTGTCGAGGTTGAATATAAAAGACATCATTAGCATTTGAATTGTAATGTTGGTTATTATTAAATGTTCCATCTAATGGCGGTTTTTCAAGTATTCTTTATGATTAGACAATAGTAGATGTGACGAAGCATCGATTTAATCAAGAATTTTTTGTTTGAAATTGATAAAATGGTGATTCTTTATGTTTATCTCTAAATGTAGTGAAAAGCAGATAAAGTATTGTTTATTTCATCGATTTTCATGCTGTTATTATCGTATTCATTTTGAATTTAGTTACTCTCAACAATGCAACGAAATCATCGGTGTTGAAATCATTGTAGGTTAGTTTCGATGGATCGTTCAATGAAGATTAACATTTCCACAAAATATAATTACGATGACACGAAATGGTAGAATGAAATGGCTATAACTTTTCAAAATATTATTATTTCATAATGATTTTGTAATACTATGAATGTTGAAGTTACCCATTGCATGAGCAACAGATTTCAATGTTAACTTATCTATGACGTCAAGAATTATGTGTGATGCTCGAAGTATTTCAGTGTGATGGAACAAGGATACAACAATTTCTATTTTCTTGTTTCCATTGTTTTTTACAATTTTCTCTTTATTATTTGTAGAACGAGAGAAAAAAAGCGAAGAATAATTTTTGACGATGAGTCATGAATTTAGTCATTCCAACCTCAACATACACATGTTTACCTGTAGAATAAAAAAATATCCCTATTTTTGCAGGAAATAATATAGTAAACATACAAAAAAATAGTTTTATACTACTTTTACCTCTCTGCATATTGTATTTGTTGTTGTTGACTGTTGAAAATGAAATTTCATAATCATTTGTAAAACAATATATTCTATTTTCTTTTGCTGAGAAGAAAAACACGTCTATTTATTCGCCAAATTTTTATTTTATGCGTATTTATAACACCGGTGTAGCATACACGACACGTTGTTCGTATCTATTTCGGTGTACATAAATACTTAGAAAATTTTGAGATTTTTACTGAAAGTTTTGTGAGGGTAATATCTGGTGAGTACGAATTAAATACTGCTCAAGGCATAATAGAAGATATAGTTCTGTTTAGCGCAGTAAACGTTTCCAGTTCGAGCATATTTTTAAACTAATAATACGACTCTTTCACTACAGTCTGGATAGTCAGTCACAGACTCAACTTACTATAATAAACCAGTTATACCTACAACTTTCATTGGCTCAAAATACACTTGTTTTATATTATGTTTTATAGTGCCATAATCACGACGTAACATGGCATCTAAAAATTCATCAACTTCGACGAGCCCCGTCTATCGTATTCCACCATATTATTACATTCATGTATTAGATCAAAATACAAATGTATCACGGCTAGAATTGGGACCAAAAACATTTATTAAACAAGAAAATGTAACAGTTATAATTGGACCGGAAAAAATGGTTACTGTACCACCGAGACACTATTGTGTTGTTGAAAATCCTGTAGTAAAAGATGAAGCTGGACAAGTACAATTCGATGAAAATGGCCAAGCAAAATTATTACATGCCGATTTAGATATTAGATTAGAAAAAGATTATAAGGAACCATTTCCCCTGTATCCCGGTGAAGTTTTGAGACAAGTACATTAAATAGTGTTCTTAATAAAGTTGATTTTTGTAGTAACTGTTTCTATTGTTCTAGCCTGTCACACCATTAAAACATGTTGTGGCTAATTCAGCATTAAGACTAAAAGCTGTTCTGGATTTTGATGATAATGGAGAACAACGAAAAGCAGGAGATGAATGGTTATTTGAAGGGCCAGGTAAATAACTTCATATGTAACAATAATTCATTCAGTTCGCTTTGTTGAGAAAACTGTAGCACGTTTTGATTGTTTAACTCCTTTTGTTTTTTTAGGCACTTATACACCACGTAAAGAAGTATCGGTTGAAGAACAAATTCGTGCTACTGTAATCGGTTCAAATCAAGCAATACGATTGAGTGCTAAAAAAGAAATTATCGATCGTACGGGCCAACTTCGTGTAACCGGTGAACATTGGCTAGTGAAGAAAACGGGTGCCTACTTACCACTGGCTTATGAAACGGTGGTTAACGTTGAGGATGCCTCCGTTTTGACAGATAAAAAAGCTTTACATTTACGTGCACTGAAAACCTTTACAGATGATTTTGGTCAACTACGAAAAAATGGTGATGAATGGCTTATAACAATTGAACAAACCGAAACACATATATTAAATGTTTATGAACAACTCGTGGACAATGTTAGCGTAACAACACTCAATTCACGACAGTACTGTGTCATTTTAGATCCAATTTCAGGTAAGAACGTCAAAAAGTTGAACATGAAAGAGTTATAACGATTCATGTTTCCTTTTCTAGATGACGGTAAAAATCAATTAGGTAAAAAAAAATTAGTTGTTGGTGAAAAATCATTTTTTCTACAACCTGGTGAGCGATTAGAAAAGGGAATTCAAGATGTGTATATATTGGGTGAAGATGAGGGTGTTATATTAAAATGTATTGAATCGTTCGATGATGAATCAGATGATGAGAGACGTAGACCAGGTGAGACAAAGAGATTTAATTGTACTAGTAGATGTAGAAAAATTATGATTCCTTTTTAACAAAAAATAGCTCAAGTGTGATAGTGAGTAATTTTGGATTTTGTTTAGGTGACAGATGGATGGTAAGAGGACCAAGAGAATATATACCACCGACACAAGTCGAAGTATTACTGAGAAGAAAAGCGATACCTTTAGGTAACTTTACTACTAATTTTCCATAATTTTGATCTTATTACTTATTTCTTGTATACTTTTCTAGATGAAAATGAAGGTATCTATGTTCGTGATATTAAAAGTGGTCGTGTTCGAGCGGTTGTCGGTCAAACATACATGTTAACGCAGAATGAAGAACTGTGGGATAAAGAATTGACAGAACAAGTTGAAACTTTACTGATGAGAGATCCTCTCACTGATAGAATGATTAAAGTAAAAGATACAACTACCAAATCACAAACAAAACGCGAGAAATTTAAAGTAGTTACATTTCGTGTTCCACATAATACAGCCGTGCAAGTGTACGATTACAAAGCAAAACATGCAAGAATTGTTTTTGGACCTGAACTAGTTATGTTGGGACCTGACGAACACTTTACATTAATTAATCTCTCTGGCTCTGTTCCAAAAAAACCAAATCAAATTCGATCATTAGCATTGTTATTAGGTCCAGACTTTTTAACCGATATCATCGTTGTTGAAACAGCTGATCATGCCCGATTATCAGTTCAGTTGTCCTGCAAGTAAATTAAAAAACTAATCATTTCTCAATAGCCATTAGATTTTTATTAATTTCAGTTGGTTTTTCGATACCAAGGATCGAACTGATGAGACAGAAGCACAAAAATTATTTAGTGTTCCTGATTTTATTGGTGCGTTTATCTTTCGTACCCATATTCATCAGTTGTTACCTTTTGTTGTCTTTGTTTAGGTGATGTAGCTAAAGCTATTGCCAGTCGAGTCCGTGGTGCTGCTGCTGGTGTTCAATTCGACGACTTTCATAAAAACTCAGCAAGTATCATTCGAGCTAGTGTATTTGGTGTAGAACTTATACCAGAAACAACAACATCCACCGACAAGCAATCAACACCTCAAACTCGCGTTCGTGATCGTCTTGTATTCCCACAAAATAACTTAGTTATAACATCCATTGATATCCAGTCTGTTGAACCAGTCGACCAACGCACTCGAGATGCTTTGCAGAAGAGTGTACAATTAGCGATTGAAGTAAGTGTTTTTATTTTTTCACCAATTCGAATTATCCTTTTTTTCTTGTAGATAACTACAATGAGTCAAGAAGCGGGTGCAAAACACGAAGCATCAAGACGTGAACAAGAAGCAAAAGGTTTTCTAGAACGCCAAAGAATCAAAGATGAAGCAGAAGCAGAGGAAGTAAGTAACTCATTGCTGTTAACAAGGGTCATTGCTACTAATTTATAGAACGAAGATTGTTGAAGAGACGCACCACATATTCATGTCTGAAGGAAGAATTATATGTTCTTACCTTTGTTAGCTGAATATTTACCGCAGACGATACAAATCAGCCTCCGACAGATCTAACGTAATAGAATTAACTCTTCATTCTCTTTTATCTACTTAGGTTCGTAAATCTCTATTAGAATTGCAAGCGCTGTCGGCTGCCGTTGAGAGCACAGGTCAAGCCAAAGCCGAAGCTCAAAGTCGTGCAGAATCAACACGTATCGAGGGCGAAGCAGCCGTTGATCAAGCACGTTTGAAAGCTGAAGCCTCAAAAATTGAGGCCGAGGCTGAATTGAACCGTTTGAAATTAGCACGTGAAGCGGAAGTAAAATATATGAGAGAGCAAAATGAACTTGAAATCAATAAAAAACAAAATATGTCACAGATAGAAATCGAGAAATTTCAGCAACAAGTAGAAGCCATTGGTGCAGAAACAATTCAGGCTATTGCCACATCAGGTCCAGAAACGCAAGTAAAACTATTGCAAGCGCTCGGTTTACAATCAACATTAATTACAGATGGTCGTAGTCCAATAAATCTTATGAATTTTGGCCAAAATTTATTAGGCGAAACAACTGGTGCGTTATAAAACCTCAGTGAGGTTGTTAAAGATTCATTTGATGAATAGGAACTATAAACTATTTTTAGTCTTAAACAATTCTTACCTCCATTTTTGAATGTATGTAACTACTTATGTCGACTCCGAAAGTTGATACAACTGGAACTTCAAGTAAAAATTATGATAGATAGTGAAATAGGATATTTTTCACTTTTCCTAAGCATTTCTTGATGTAAATCATTCAACAAATTTTTCAACGAATGTGTTGTACTTTGGATAAGCCGAGTTTAAAAGCAAAAAAAGCTTGAACAACATTAAGCTGCCCGCTGACAGATAACTTTTCAAATCCAATGCACAATAAGGGAAAGAACAAACGGTAGAATCTCTAAACCTAACTATTACGCATAATATAACAGCAAAACGGTAAATTATGCATCGATGAATTTGTGAAAAGTTTTCAGATTCAATTCAGCAGAGATGGCGGAGCGAGTTAGAAGCCGTGAAAACGAATACTTGGAGGAGAAATCACGATAAATTGATTTCTCATGAGGAAGACCATTTTGAATTAAAGTAAATCAAATTAATACTAAAATAAAGTACTTTTGTGGTAATTAAGCATTGAGTTCTCTACTTACATCTACTAAGACACACTATCATCAAAAATGAGTGTCAGTAATTTAGGATTCAGTCGATGTTTAACCCTCGTTTTTCTGTAGTTCATCAAATATACGCTTGTAATAAACAGAGAAAAAAAAAGTCACATACGAAAGATAAAGTGATTACATGACGAATTCAAAGATATAAATCCTTAAAGTTATGGGATATGCTCAGCATTCCGCCCCCAAGTTTTTTTGGCATTGCAAAAAGTGGAGGCTACTGGTTTCTATACAACCTCTTAAACAACTTGTATTATCTTTATTTTCAAACTCTGGTAAACCTCTACGTTTCTTTGTTTAATTTTTTACGTTTATTTTAACGATATAGTTGAACGTGATAATCACCCTGGCAAATAGTAAATTATTTACATTTAAAAGAGTTGAAGTTTTAACTTTCAGATTTTGATTTGAAAATCATATATAGAAGATATTTCAATAATTTTATTTCAAAATGTTACCCATATATGCCTCCAAAATCTGTATTATTAAAGTATTTTTATCATTAAACTGTTTTTACAGAAAAACAGACATGCTTAAATCCCATAGTCAGAAATTGTGGTTAACAAGATATAACAAGACGCACTTCGATAGGAACTAATAAATTTTCTAAGCGCGCCTTGTTACATCTGGAATAACTAAACGACGAAACACTTTGAACAACATAGTTTTCTGGAAACTACACTTCACGCTATTTTAAGTTTTTTCGGATAAGGCCATTTAAAAGAGCACTATCTGAAATGTTTGAGCACCGACTTTCATCAAACTTAGTTACATAAGTTTTCGGGTAATGTGTGCAATAGAAAATTCTTTACACTTTTGATCTTTTTAAATCGTCTTATTTACACTTATTACCATCTCCATGGTACTTCTGTCATATTATCAAATGCTGTATTTATTCTGTGAAAGGTTATCATGGGCTAGTACCCTGCTGTAACAACAAAACACATGTCTGTACTCGATCATTATGCATTCACCTTAGTTTTTATTGTTCTTTTGCTGTTCTTGTTTTGTTTGTATGACTCTGAATGCACAAATCGCATAAGTTGATTTTGAAAGTGATTATAGCCATCATAATTGTGTATTGTCACGTTTATCCCCCTAGCATAAAAACACTTACTTTTTACAAAAATCTGTAAAAGAATTCAGCTTTTCACAACCTCTTGTATCGGTGGACAACCGCATAAATATAAAACATTATACGACAAGAATCGGGATTGTCCTGGAGTAATCTAGTTCCAGAATGAGTGGTTTTGTTTCTTATATACGTATTCTGACGAATGGCGGATCCAGCCAACGTACAGTACGTACGGCCACACGTATCTCCTTAAAATATAATCTTAGTCAAATAATACGCACATACCCTTAAAAATATTGTTCTTTCTGTTTCCCGTCTTCGGTTGTGTGAAATAAAACGTCTTCGGTTGTGTGAAATAAAGTCTTCTGTATTTATATTAAGTATAGAGAAGTGTTTAGTGCAAAGAAATGAATCAATCAGCAAAAAACAAAGACAGCAGTCTATTGATCACAGCCCATCTTAACCGACCACGCGGTAATATCAAAAAGATAAAAGCGTGAATAGATTTGAACTGAAAAGTCTCACTGTGAAAAAACACGGCCCCAGTCTAGTGAAAAAGCCTATCAGTCCGCACTTGGACTTGCCCATCTCTGGGTAAGATTACTAAATATTGAGCTAAAAAATGAATGACAACGTCGGTAGGTGTTTTAGCATTTTTCACAACTTTGACATCGAATTTTCTCAGACACCAGAATTGGAGTTAACCTTCGTGTTGTTTTGCTCATCTCGACTAGAGCACTAGAACTGTCAAAGCCTCCAAAAATTAGTTTGGTCAATAACTTGTAAAATGGTTCAAATCCCCGAAGAAATCCTAAGAAAAATTGTATTTTAATGCTATAAAGTATCTGTTTTATCGCTGAACATAGCAAAGAAAAAAGAGCCGAATACATGATATTTAAAGTTAATTTTCTATTCCGTTTTCATGGAAATGTAGTATTTGCACAAAAGACCAGAAGGAGTTCTTAGAAGTGCCCTCTGGCAAATCTCTGGAACACTTTAACATTTTTCCAGCTACATCACGAGAAATCCCTATCTTTTTGCTATATATTTCATGAGTAATAAAAAGATATCACTTGACAAATCGATCTAAAACCGAGTACATTTTCGAAGGAATTGCATCGCTATCACCACCTTAAGCGTTATTCATTTTCTAATTTTGCATTTCGCAATCCCACAGCGTTTCCCAGAATTATCCCTTCATAGAAATCACGAGTCTAAAATTCCAGGTAAAGCCAGAAAATCGGAATTCCGAATAGTTGACAGTGGCTCACATTCATTTTGCGCCGCAGATTTCGCTCGATTTTCTACAGTAGGAATTTCCCATTTTCTATCCTTCTAATCCTTCGCTACAGTGGAACTTCCAGATTGGGAAGTCTCTGGAATTACACACTGCTAAATTCTTTCCATAATGATAAGTAACTAAATTTGTGAATTTCAGATTTATAGAAACAATGTTCCAGCTAAAGATGCAAAAGAACATTTTAAGCTCAATTTATTTATTCCAATACTTCATTATATGATAGAAGCAATATCCAATCGTTTTTCAGAACATGTTAAACGAACACTAACAGCATCCTATTAATACCATCTTACGTTAAAACATTTGAAGGCTTAAAAAAACTGAATTATATAACTCGAAATAACTCAAGAATGAAATGAGCTATCGAGATCGGGTTTTCGCCATCGTCTAGCCAAGACTGTGGTACGTAATCATATGCAGAAACCAAAATTTTTGCGAGGATTTCTGTAGGATTTCTTAGTAGATCTCTGGAAAATCAGCTTATAGTTCCGAAGTTTTACATAGAAGCCTATCAGTTTTTTTCATATATGGATAGTCCAAGGATTGTCCTCTACAAAACCAGATCCAAGCGACATCTTGAAAATCCATGGTTTGGGAACTATGGGGATTTTTCTTGAAGTCTCAGGATTCCTCTGCCGTTAGGTTAGGGACTGTCAGAAATGAATGAAAACATAGGTTATCAATGTTTTTTTTAATGCGTAGGATTGTCCAGCAGATTTTTCTTTACAAAATGAGATACAACGGGTTTCGTGATAGCTGCAGCTGATGATATCCCATCTCAGATGGCTTTTATATAATTTCGTAAAAATGATATGAACGCGAATAGCACACTTGCTAATCGCGAACGACTAAAATCGATAGATTCTACCATCTGTATGCACATAAACCTTATCCTCGATTTTTATTCCGATGAATGCATTAGTTCAGACTAAAATAGAAACATAAGGTAAACGAAACAATAACAAAACAATAACAAAACAACAACAAAACAACAAAGTGTACATATCGCGGACAGTTATACAGAAAAAAGATCGTATAAAAAATAAAAAGTTCCTGTCAGTTTTGCTTAATTTAAATTGTGGATAGTAAGGATGATGGTATTACGGATGTTCCCTGTTGACCATCCCCAACAAGATTCTTGGCCGTATTAAACAAATTTATAGGCGAACGACCATCTGTAATTAACGTTGATTTGATTCCTAATGATTGTAATAATTTTACTTGCATATCGGGACCAGATGTGGCAATAGCTAAACAAAAAACATGTATAATGGTTCTTGAAATGATTTCAGTAGTATAGCTCAACAAACTTACCTTGAATGGTTTTTGGTCCAATAGCTGCAACGTGTTTTTTAAATTCGTCGACCTCAATTTCTACTAAACGTTGTGTTCGATCAACTTCTAATTCCGATGTGACTTTTGAATAGGCTAATTCTAACTCGCGTGCTTGTGTTAAACGATATAAATCAACTTCAGCTTCAATTCGAGATGCTTCAGCACGAAGACGAGCACAATAAACTGCTGCTTCACCTAGATAAGTAACAGCAAAATTAGAACAAACGTACTTATACTAGACAAATATTGCAGATACACAAGAGACAGACGGTATGACAGACATCTACACAAAATTTGTATCTAATCAGATTTTTAAACAGAACCTGCACAGGATTAGACTGATGAAAAAGGTTTTATTCAATGGCTCGAGAAAAGTGAGTGAAAATTTTGTAATTATCGCATAACGGATAAGAATGTTTGTTAATATTTTTTCCGAGATCAGTCAAGTTTTAGGGTTTTATAGTGAGAGAATAAAACAACTCTGATTTTTCAACATTGCTTATCCTTACATACAGAGCATATTGAAGAGACTCGTCCTTTGAACGAAGAAAACTGAGATATATGAAGATTATGAGAAAAGTTGGTGAGAAAAACGACTAATTGTCTGTACACAATATCTGTCTAGACAAAAAAGATTTGTTGCTAGAATGTGTGACTTGATGCACTCCATTAATAAATCTGATAAATATTTGCAACCAAAGAGTGAAAAAAGAGAGAATAGCTCTTGTGACATTTAAATAAATTATGTAATTAAAATTATTGTGCAAGAAAACAGAATTTTTGTTTACCTTCAATTTTCGCTGATTCTGCACGACTTTGAGCTTCTGCTTTCGCCTGTCCAGTTGCCTCAACGGCGGCAGATAGAGCAGTTAATAACAACAGATTACGTCGTTCTTTTTCAGCTGGAAGAAAAAATACAAAAATTTAGAAATACTCAGCACAGTACATTTAACAATTTACCTTCGGCTTCATCATGAATTTTTTGCCGTTCCAAATGACCACGAGCTTCTTGTTCAGCTTTTTCAGCAATATGTCTAAATAGAAAGTGGTTTAGGAACAAGTGCATAATTATTAGAATATTTTATTTGAAGAAAAATTAATTAACTAACTTGGCATGTGCTTCTTGAGAGTTTGTGGTAATCTAAAATGAAAAATAATAAATTAGTTTTATTTTCGTCGTATTTCCAATCAATAAGTACATACTTCAATAGCTAATTGTACACTCTTTTGTAACGCATCTCGAGTGCGTTGATCAACTGGTTCAACAGACTGGATATCAATGGATGTTAGTACGAGATTATTTTGTGGAAATACAAAACGATTATTAATTTTTGTTGTGCCTTTTTCTAAACCAAACACACTAGCACGAATTATTCGTGCTGAATTCTAAGAAAAAAAGTTACACAATTAATTGAATAGTTAAAACTAATAAACTAGCATTTTATTAAATTAAAAAGAAACTCAACTGAAAATTCAGAGAAACTTGTTATGCTATCTGCGTTGTATGGGAACGAATCATCGGCATGGATCTTATTGGGAGCGTTTTTCTCGATACAAACTAAACTTATTTTTCAACTGTTCCTTTAATCCTAGATTTCTGTTATTTACTTGAATGAAAGTAATTACATACTTTATGAAAATCATCGAAATTGACACCTGCTACAGCACCACGAATTTTGGCTGCAACTGCTTTACAAAAATCACCTATTAAAGGAAAGAAAAGAAAATGAGTGGCTTGGTATTTTCAACAATCTAAATACAGGCATACCAATAAAATCTGGTACGGAAAATATACTGAGAACTTCTTTAGCATCTTTATTTCTAATATCAAAGTGCCAACTAAACAAAGAGAAGAAAGAATGTAAATATTCATATCAGAAAAAATCATGAGACTTACTTGTAAGATAGTTTTAAGTTTAGACGTGCATGATCAGCTGATTCAATGGTAACGATATCAGATGAAAATTCTGGTCCTAGTAGTAAGCATATTGCACGAATTTTATTAGGAACTTTAGGTTTTCCACCAGATATATTAAACACTGTAAATTGTTCATCTGGTCCGAGCATAACTGAAAACAGCAATGAGAATAGTAAACTTGTCATTATAAGAGAAATGATCGGTGTTCTTACCTAGTTCTGGTCCGAATACAATACGTGCTTTTTTTGCTTTATAATCGTAAATTTGTACGGCTGCATTATGTGGTACTCTATAAGCGACTACTTTTGATTTGTCTCGTGGTGGTATATTGACTTGTTGTGGTTGCGTGTCTTCGAAATATCTCGAATCCAAATTTAACAATTGTTCAACTTGTTCTGGTAAGTCTTTTTCCCATAATTCTTCATTTTCCGTCAACAAATATGTGTTTCCAATTACTGATCGAATTTTACCAGTTTTTACATCACGTACATAGATGCCTTCGTTCATGTCCAATGGAATAGCTTTACGACGTAAAACAACTTCCGATTCGACAGCTGGTATGTAATCTATTGGACCTCGAATCATCCAGCGATCACCGGGCGATCGAAGAACTTTCTAAAAAATAAAAGATGCATGTGATATATGATCCTCAGACTAACAATCATTCTTTTCCTAAGAGACTTTTCAGTATCCTATACCGATAACGGTAGCCGAAAGGTAGAGTACTCTTCTTTTCTGTTAGAAAACTTACTCCATCTTCTTTGAATGCTTCGGTACATTTCAAAATAAGTCCTTCATCTTCTTCTAATACATAAACATCTTGAATACCTTTTGCTAATCTTTCACCCGGTTGTAAGAAAAATGTTTTTTCACCCTGAAAAATGTTAAAAATACATACATGAGAAACGATAGTTTTAACACAGGAGCGGCAGCTTAACATACTTTAACAAGTTGTTTTTTACCCAATTGTGGTTTTCCATTTTTACCTACTGCATCCAAAATAACACAATATTGTCGTGAATTCAATGCGGTTACCATAACATCTCCAACAACTTCTTCATAAACATCTGGTATGTACGTCTCAGTATCATGAGCATATACCAGCCATTCTTCACCATGTAGACGTTTATTACCAAAATTATCTTTAAATGTACGTAGCGCACGAAGATGTACGGCTTTCTAAATAACGAGAAAAACTCGTTTTCTATACTTTATACAAGAAAAAAAATCATCTCCCTTACTTTATCTGTTAATACAATTGGCTGAACAACGCGGACAACCTCTTCAGTAGCCAATGGTAAATAAGCGCCAACTGTTTTATTTAACCATTCTTCTCCAGTCTCACGAGGTTCACCATCACGATCAATCATCTCTTTTTTTGCACGTAATCGAACAGCTTCTGTAGGTTTTAAAATCGTAGCTTTTATTTGTTCTTCAACGGCAACTTCTTTTCGAGGGTAATAGGTACCTGAGAATGCAAACAAAGCTTGAAGTTAGAGAATATCACTCATGGTCGCTATTGGCGAAAGGAGAACAAAATTCTTAAGCTATATTATCGAGCATATGTGAAACTTTTAGTTTGACACCATCTCTTTCCCCTACTAACACTGAATTTTTCTACAGTTTTATATACAAGATCACTTATTTCACAGACTCCCACATGTTAATTTACCTGGTCCTTCAAATAACCATTCGTCACCAGCTCTGATTGGTTTTTCAGTGTCATCAATAAAATCTAACACAGCTCGTAAACGTAATGCACAATTTGGTTCAATCACTTTTAAGGGTGTCACAGCCTTTAAAAAAAAAGAATGATAACACGAGTTCTACATCCAGATTATCGTCGTAACACGCTTGCTCTCTTCTAAGGGCTATATGAGAAATTGAAGGGTCCCTCCACAAAATGAGATGTGCTTACATATGAGTATTTATAAAGTCTTCTCAACCAGGATCTTACCTGTTTCAGCACTTCTCCAGGATACAAGGGAAATGGTTCTTGTGTAAATTTAATAGCTAAATCGGAATGTAACAAGCGAACTTGACCATGTGTGTCGACCATTACTTGTCCTTTTTTATCTTTCATTGCTGGATTTTCAATAACACAATAATGTCGTGGTGGTATGATAATATGTTTTTCTGGACCAACAAGAACTTTTTCATGGTCTTGTTTAACAAATGTTTTTGGACCAACTTCCAGTCGTGGTACATTTGTATTTTGATCCAATACATGAATGTAATAATACGGTGGAATACGATAGACACCACTTACTTTCGGATCCGACATTTTTTCCGATGACGTAGAGATTATTATACACTAAAAGTCTAAAACAGATGAAAAGACCTTCCGGTAGCTGAACTCTTGTGTAGGTATCTTGCGACTTCTCAGAGTCACCTTCGAAACAAGGTGATGGTAAGCACCAAAGCGAGTTTGGAAGCTTTCACGACGTAAGTATCCGTTAACAGCCCAATTAAGCCGGTTGCACCTCAGTTACGATGTGAAGCTGTCTCAGTACGTCCTTTGTCACCATTTGCTACCCATCGAAATTTAGCTTTCTCTGATTTTCTCTACACATGATCCTAGTATCTTCCATCTCGCTACGTCACTACTATACGTTTTCTATTCTTAATAATTTACATAATGTATTTTTTGGATGTGTTTTCTACAGTCTGAAAGCAAAATTTGCCATTGAAATGACTGAGAAGACGAATGTTTCAAAATTGCTAGAATCATCTATCTCACAAAAAACTACGATAAAGCAATTGTACAAAATCACAGAAGTGTATGAATACACACCTTGGTTGTTTTGTTTTTTGAATCTGTATTTACCTGCTGTTACAAAACGAACAAACGCTTTTATAAACTGGGGTTATGTTTTTGATGGGAAAAAGAAAGACGAAAGAAAGAGAATAAACAAGCAGATTTAAATAGAACCACAGTAGAAGAAATGGGGATTCTATAATCTATAGTATAAAAGATATGAGTAAAAAATTGTGCGTTGAAAGCATATTGCAAAAACATTGTGCAATCCCATCTGAATATGTATTACGCGTCGATGTTGAAATAAACACACAAAGGAGAGTTGATTCACACAATACGGTCACAGTTATTATGTAGACTTGCACGCAGAACAGAAAGAAAAAAATATTTCACCGAGCTTGTGACATACTTTCGAAGAGGCCATGTCGCTATTCATATTCAGAAGAATGAATAAACACAATTTTCGCACATAGCGCAAAACCCATTTCAGCACGAGATCTGTACCACAGAAGTTTTTCTTTCAACTTTCATTCGCTATAATGTCTGATAGAAAAAGGAAGCACGTTAAAGGGGTAGTTCCACGCAGCTCCGCCCAGTAATACATGATTTGAAACCCGATTAGAAATGACTCTTGTCATCGTCCAGGGCGTAAAAAATCACTTATAAATCCATACATTTTAGCTGTTCAAACGGTTCCGAGAATGGCTGCCCATAGCTCGCAAAAGATGATTTTACCTGTTGTCAAGGGTCTCTGAGTATCTACATACCAATTTCACCACTACATCTGAATTTTTTCTAACAATGATGATCGAAAAGAACACAAATGGTTTCATATGTTCTACCAAAAATTTAATTTTTCGTCATCATTTTTTATACAGCTTGTCCATGAAAAATTTAACCGTCAGTGGCCAAAATTACGTTTTTTTAATTCGAGAAAAACTCATCCAAAGAGAAGAGAAACAGTATCATTTTAAAATGAACAGAAAGCGCCACTGAAGCTTGTCTGAATGTTACACGAACAAGCTCGAAATACTTATCATTTAGCTCCAGTACCCCGGCATCCGAGACCTACTTTTCATCTTTGTCAGCTGTCCCCACGAAATCTACATGTAAACTTTACGAGATATTATTATCTGAGATACTATTCGAGTAGCTCTACGAAAGCCGCCAACTTTGAAATCGGACCAAACAATCTTTGCAGTCGGTTTTCCAGAAATCTTCGTCAAAATCTTAATCTTATATTTCATAAAGAACCAGCTTTGATCTCGAATTCGTGTTTAGACTCAAAAATACTGTATAGTTCAGTGTTTTCTACTCTCCTAGGAGCTACCTGAAAGTCCAGATTTTTGCAAAGATTTCTGGGAAACCGACCGTAAAAATTTGTTTGGTGGGATTTGAAGCTTGGCGGCTTTCGTAGAGCTACTCGAATAGTATCTCAGATAATAATATCTCGTAAAGTTTACATGTAGGTTTCGTGGGAACAGCTCACAAAGATGAACAGTAGGTCTCGGATGCCGGGGTATTGGAGCTAAACGGCAAGTATTTGCGAGCTTGTCTTTGTAACATTCAGACAAGCTTCAATGGCGCTTTTATTTGGTACAAATTTTGTAGGATTTCATTTTGTTTTGGGTTCGTTGTGACTGTTGCAAAAAGTACAATGGATCCTCCAAACGAAAACTATTTTACACGTTGAAGATAAAAACTGGATTTCAGGGAAACAAATACGTAACTTTCGATGCTCTATCTAGTCGCGAGGAATAGGGTGCATCAAGCTCTCTAGTCGTCTCAAAAAAAGAATGGGTAGAAGAATCTGAAAAACCCTAAAATTCACAACTTTTTGCCAAGGAAAAACCGCGTTCGGAATAACTTTTTTCCAGAGAACCACTATGGGGTTTTACATACTTCTAGTAGCTCTACGGAACGCATATAGTCAAACCTTCCCGGCTTCCAGTCGTGTATAAAGTGGATGGACCTGTTCAGAATGATCCAAAGGACTTGGTAGTTCCTACTACGAGTTCAATAAAACATTCAACGTCTCAAAAAATAGAACTGCTGTTCGAATAATGATATTACAATGAAAACCTCTTGTAAAAGATATCTTCGCCAACAAAGAACTGTTTTGTTTCTAAAGGTGGTTTATAAGAGGTAGGTCAAGAGGGACCTTATGCGCGTTTTAGAATTTAAGACTTCAGTTACACATCTAACTTAGTTTTTGGCTTAGACATTTTTGTGAAACACTATATTCAACATATATTTATCTAACTGCAACCGTTACTTGCATTTAATCACATATCGTTTCCGTCTACTATACCAATGAAAAACAAGCAGTTTTTCCTTCTAAATCAAGTTTCATCAGGTAACGCATAAACAAGTTTTAATTCTATTGTACATTTCTATTCTATTCTCTTCTTTTCTCAATTGTAAAGAAAGGAAAACGAACAGATACATCAACAGTATCTGACCAATGGAAAGAACATATAAAACAAAACTACATTTCAACAACGTTAATTTTAAAAGCATGTTCTTCGTCATACTACTACGACGTGATCAAAACCAAAAACTTGATTTTGGAAAAACAACCTTCATAGTAACTGATGTAGTCGGAGTTGAAGAAATTTTTAATCTGAGTTTTGGAGTTGGAGTTGACAAAATCTGTCATCAACTCAACTCCGGTCGTTTAAAAAGCAAACTCCAGCTCAACTCCAACTCCGCAAAAAAAGAGCTCAACTCTGGAGTTGAGTTGTCCAGCTCTGTTTAGAACCAACAGTTTTGTAGAGCTCGTCGAGCTGATCGCTAAAAATCCTCAGTGATTTCGAGATTTTGCTATCAAACCAGCATTTTCAACAATAACCAACAACATATTCGAGACCAACGTAAATAACTGCATCGAATGAAGTATAACTGAATTTTTTATGAACTTGTTTTTGCTCACAAAACTGTGTGTTTGTAGATCTCTCTCATCCGTTTTCTCGAGGAACAAAAATTTTTTCACAAATGTTTTTTTTCGAATGGAAAGTAGTATCTGATCACTCAAGGTGCATGAGAACACAAATCAAATAGTTCGATGTATCCATTTTCGAAAAATGTTTTGTTTCTGTGTCGTCACTTTATGGCACTATCTTGGGAAAACTCTGTATAAGTCAACACTTAATTTAAGGTTGCTTTCAAGATAACCGCAACTCTAAGAACGGGTTGAAAAAGCGAGGACTCATCTGTAAGGAGTCAACAGAAATATCATGAATGTCAAAAAAATGTTTACTGCAGAGAAGGTGAAACTTTTTCAAAAAAACTTCAAGATTTCTCGCAGCGAAAAACCATAGTATTTCAAAGAGTGGAGGGTTCTGGATCCTCCTGCACCCTCCTTCCTGTCACGTTATACTCAAGTTTTTTTATGAAATACCGAGGTTAATGGTACCTTCTCCTGGCTTTGGGCTTCCAGGGAGAAGGAAAAAACATTTTCATATTTTTTTAAAAAATAGAGCTTTTGAAGAATAATTTGATAAACATAAAAAAATTCTTATCTTCTAGCGAAAGAGCTTCGAGAGCTAGGAGTAGAGGTCTGCCTGACCAGACGTTTTTGGTCTCGATCTCGTCCCAGTCTCGTAGAAAGAACTCCTTTTTGGTCTCGATCCTGTGGTTCCGTAAATACTTTTTCAAAGTAGCGCTGATAGTTTGAAAGTCAGCGCGTTGTAATATGACGCGTGGAACAGCATGCGTGGGTGATATTTATTTAAGACTTTTAGAATTTTGTGTGAGTTCTTTCACGTAAAACTAGTTCCTAATACAAACAAGCACAGAAACTAAGAAGTTTTTGTGCTGTATACAATACTATTTTCAAAAAAAACTGATCTCGGTCGCATTAAAACGCGCGGGACCGGGTTCATTCCGCAGAACTAGGACCGTCTCGTGGACCTCTTGGTCCCAGGCCGGAACCCGTAAAAAAGATTTTTCTGCGTCCGGGTTCCGTAAAAAGCTTCGCGGGATCGGGACCGTCTCGCAGACCACTAGCTAGGAGTGATCTTATTTTGTAGGAGACATGCCACTCTATTATGCAGAAGTCAACAAATTGACTTCAACGAATGGATGAGATGAATGAGTTTGACCTAGCATAAGAAACACGAATTTGCATAATCTTGAAATAATTTTCAAGCTAACGACGGAACCTCTCGAGGTGTTTAATCGCTTTTGAGCTGATATTTTGCTCATAAGTTGGGAATCTCTAGGCTAGAATAACTCTAAGTTGGTTCGGTTGTCTGAGCCTTTCGAGTTGAATTATGAATTTTTCAAGTGTTTTTAAAAAAACGCAACATTGAGAGAAAAAGTTCGATTTCTCAGTAACCATAATTCCGTTGCACTTGAAAATTTTACTGCAACTACTAGTGATATTACTCGTATTCTGCTGAAAGTTTGAGTATCGGGCAATTCGAATTTCCGGAGATATTGAACTTACACAGCTTCGTCCAAGAACTGAAACCATTCAAAGACCATTGCTCCTTGACCTGAGTGCTGGAGACCTGCTGCTTTCAGCAATCGCAAGTAGAGAGTTGTAGCTAACTTTTTATAAGCAAAAGTTGGTTTTTAAAAGCTTTTAGAGGCCGATTTTTCAGAGGATCTTTGGAAACCACATAGAAGTTCTGGAAACCCTCATAATAATCTACCCGTTTTCTTTCATAGATAGATACTTCACAGGATCCTCTACAAAATCGGATCCAAGCAAAAGTTTGATTTTGCTTGGTACGGTAGCTTGGGACGTTTTTCCCGAAGCCCTCGGACTTCTGTATTCTTTGGTCTGGGACCTTTAGAAATGCATGAAGTGTTACGAAATCTAGTCTTTTCCGGCTGTTTACAGCTTATATTAAAAAGTCACTCAAAATGCATCAGAGAGAAGAAGCGGCAGAACGTTTTGCTCGTTACTATATTTGACTTACTCAAGATCTATTAAAATGTTTGTTACTGATTTTTCTTTTTTCGACAGTAGTTGAATAGATGAATACGCGTGCTTGATGTGGAAAACTAAGATGATAATTTAGAACTGTTTCTTTCACTGAGCTGAGAAAATGTACGATGAGAAGAGGAAGAAAAATACCAAGGTGATTGATACAAACAGGTCACAAAAGTAAACCGATGACCATCATTTACCGAGAGAGACACATCCAAATGAAAATTGTTTTTCTCTTTGCTGTGAGTCACGGTTGATTTCATCTGTGCGATTCTTCAATTTTTCTAGGCGACATAGTGAAAGTTCTCAAACGAAGTCTAGATCTCGTCCTTATGCAAATAATAATGAAAATAAAGATATAAAGAAAAGATCGAAGGATAGACTGTGTGTATCTGTATACTCAGATATAATCATTTAAAAGAAAAATGAGTTTCATCAAATTATTTTTAAAAATAAAAAGATTAAAATGTTTAACGGAGGCTGCAGAAATTTGTGTC